CTGTGAAAAAGCATAAGGTTCAGAAAAATTATAGTAATTACAAAATGGTACATTTCAGGCTAAAATAGCAAAGGGGAAGCTGACAGTAGAGGAACGAAAGAGAAGGAACAGGGATGATCAAAAAAGAAAGAGAGAAAAAATTAACAGCCAGCCTGAGCTGAAGAAAGAGTTTCTCATAAAGGAAAGATGGAGAAATAGAGTGAAAGAGGGAAAAATAAAGAACATCAGTGATCTGAAAGGAAGAGAAAAAAGACAGAAGAGAAGGTTTTGGAAACAAGCACAGAGACAAAAGGAGAGAAAGTCCAGCAGGGTCGAAACACACAACCACAGAGAACTTTAGGAATCAAGGAGTAGTAGGCAGCTACTTACTGGTGAACTATTAAGATGTAGAACATGTGCAAAAACAGAATTGTTATGATGTGTCTTGTGATATTACAAATTATTACAAAGGTTGTTAAGGTTTAATTGTCACTTTGAAAGAAATAATATCTTGTTTTCTACTAGTGTGTCACCACCGTCAGATTTGTGTCGCCACCGTCAGCACCTTGTCAACTCCACAACATGGAGTTTTGGTTTATTTTTCCTCTTTTGGAGAACCATATAGTTTCCTCCCTCATGATCTTCCAATAAAAATACGTAATTTTCTCAATAAATGTGTAATTTGCTGCTTAATGTGACTGTTTCTTATAGAGATTAAATACAAGCTTCTGAAAATATGTATGACTGTAACTGGCTGCACACACACAGCATACATGATTTAATACATAAAATAATTTTATGTATTAAAGAACATATTGAGAAAGCGCTCCACTTTAAATGTTGGCCTCATATGTGACAAAGGATGATTTCTCTTAAATTCTAGCTTTAATTGTTAATTGTTATGTGCAAAGGTTGGTGTTAGTGTACATTAATACTAACATGGTAACATTGCTGTTTGCTTCTTGATACATTCTCAATCATCCAGGAAAGTAAATCTCCAAAAGTTGTCATGAGAATTTGCATAATTAAGATTAAGGAACTGACAGGGTACATCTGTCACCATCTTACAATGCTGTGATTGCAGCCATTCCCCAACTCTCTGTGAATGCTGCTCATGGCCATTGATCAGTGGTCTTTGGTCAGTGGTTAATTGATTAACTAACGATCAAGGAACTGACCTCCCAGCCCATTGTTCCTTCAGTGGGCTGGTTTCAGTCATTATGCAAATGTACTGTTTATAAGATTGGGGAAAGGAAAGAGTGTGAGGATAAGGAAACCCCACCATGTTCCCAAAGGACATCCCAGATTTACCCCTCCTGTAACAGTAACAAAAGCCAAAGGTCTACTGGGGTCAGCGGGGGAGCTCTTCCTTGGTCTCTTGTGTTCTGGGGGCCTCTGGATGTCTGGAGTCTTGATCTCCTCCATACCTGCTTCATGCCCTGGAGGACGGGGCTGTGGCCCCCCCACACCCTCTAGCAGAT